ATCTCTCATTTAAACCATTCGCCTTTCTCGTCTCCTTAATTCTGCCTACTTTTTGCGCGCTCTCATCCTCGCTCATCTCTATGCTTGTCTTTTCGATCTTATTTTCGTGTTTTCCCGGCTCGTCCGCCTATTCTCTCTCTGCTATTCTCCCCATCCTTGCCTTGATTTCCTCCCTGCTCTCTGCTTTTCCTTTGTATCCTTTCGCTTGCATCCGTTCTCTCCCAGCTCCTTGTACTTCCACACTTGCCTTTCCACTCTTCGCTCCGCTTTGCTCCCTTTCATCGTTGTATCCCGTTCTGGGCTCTTCGCTGTCTCCTCACTCCTCTTCCCAATCTTCACACCGCTCTCTTGCTTGCTTCCTTCCTTGCTTTGCTTTGCTTTGCTTTGCTTTGCCTTGCCTTGCTTTTGCCTTTGCCTTTGGTTTTGCTTGCTTTGCTTGCTTTGCGTGCTTTGCTTGCTTTGCTTGCTTTGCTTTGCTTGCTTGCTTGATTTTCCAACTAGTGTTTACACTAAGGCGTTCTTCCGTTAAGAGTTAAGGCTGGGTTAGATCGAGGGTTCGCGCTCAAAGTGTTGGCCCTGTGCGTAGAAAGTTGTCTTCGATGCGACAGTCTCGCTCGAAATGTGGGGGCGCGCGCGAGCGGTGCGCTCTCACTGTGGCGCCGTGTGAATGTGTCTTGAGCTCGGCGAACACTCTGCGGAGATCGTGCGTGTCGAAGTGCTCTCACTGTGGCGACGTGCTAGTGTGTCCTGAGCTCGGCGACTCTAGCTGTGGCGCCGCGCGAATGTGTCTTGAGCTCGGCAAACCCTCTGCCGAGATCGCGCGTGTCGAAGCGGTCTTGCTGTGGCACCGTGCGACTTGAGCTCGGCGAGCCCAGTCCGGAGATCGTGCGCGTCGAAGCGCCCTCGCTGTGGCGCCGTGGCAACGTGTCTTGATCCCGGCGAACCCTCTGCGGAGATCGGCGCGTGTCGAAGCGCTCTGGCTGCGGCGCCGTGCGAATGCGTCACGAGCTCGGCGAACCCTCTGGGGAGATCGCACGTGTCGAAGCGCTCTCGCTGCGACGCCGTGCGAAGTGCGAAGTGCGATCCCGCAGCTCCGGCTGCGCGCTAGACAAGCGCAACGCTTACGCTCTCTGCAAGTACACAAAGTGCACTCCCGCAGCTCCAGCTCGAAATTCGCATCTTTTCAGTACAATAGTAGTACGCGAAGAGCATTCCCGCTGTACAATTGTGCTTTGTAAGCACAGAGTAGCCTACAGGCCCCCAAACTCGCAACTTCTAAGTAGAAAAGTATAGTCCGCGGAGCGCATTCCCTCAGCTCCGGCCGAAGGCTCGTACAATAGTAGTACGCGGAGAGTGCTCCAGAGCTCCGGCTGCAAAAGCGCAATTTCTAAGTACAAAAGTAGCACAGGAAGTGCACTCCCGCAGCTCCAGCTTGAAGTTCGATAATCGCAGCTTGTAAGTGCAAAAGTAGTGCACGAAGTGCGCTCCCGCAGCTCCACCTAAAAAATTGGAAAGTTTTCAGCACAAAAGTCGTACGCGAAGTGCGCTCCAAGGAGCTGCGGCTGCAAAGCTGCAACTTTTAAGTGGCAAAGGAGGGTACGAAGTGCGCTCCCACGGCTCGGACACTTTAAAGTCCAACGTTGTACACAAAGCGCATTCCCGCAGCCCGGGCTGCAAAATTGTAAGTGGCTACGTGCAAAGGTGGCGCGCGAAGCGCCTCCAAGCGCGCGAATTACACGTCCGTATTTGCAGACGAAAGTCACAACTTGTTAAGCGCAAGAGCAGTGTGCGAAGTACACTTCCGCAGCTGACACCGACAGCCTTCTTGCGCAGCCAGCCTGCGCGCAGATATGGACTTCTTTCAAGAGAGGGTGTGAAAGGTTTGGCAAGAGAGGTTGCAGAGCATCATGCGCAGCATCATGCGCTGCATCGCACGCAACGTGGTGCGACATCATGCGCAACATCATGCGCAACATCACACACAGCTTCGCGCAGCATCAAGCCAAAGCATCGCGCGCACGAGAAGTTGAGATGACAGATTGTGAAGCATGACGCTAAGCTTGCTCATCAGAGCTCGGGGAAGCTACGCTCGAGTAGGGACATTGACGTGTTTACGTTTTGTTTCTCATCAGGTGGGAGAGGTGTCAGGGCTTTATAACGTCTTTCTATGCTTCCTGGCCACTTGTCGTCAAGTTAAACCCAATACCATTTGGGGCTCCGTCGAGATGTCTCGTCGCTTCTCCTCCCGGTTTCCCTTTGCTATTTGCCTACTCGTATGCATTCTTGGAGGCTTTGTCATGTGCCATTTGTTGTTAATGTGTGAGAATGTGAGGAGGCAGGGTGGTGCCGCCCCAAGTTCCGCACTATTCGATTGATCCTCCCTGCCCATATTTGCAGTACTTTGGCTTGGGGGTCATGGACCTTCTACTAGAAAAGCCTGAGACAACACGCGTTCCCAGCATTGCCATGACCACGAGCTTGTTGGTGCATGGGCAGGGCTTCTCCAACACCGTGGAGCGGCTGGACCTCGAGGGGCAGGTCGTCGATCAGGCCTCCTTCGCGGAAGACCAGTTTGCAGGGGAGCCGCCCCTTGGAGGTTTCAGCGAGTTCTTTTGGAGACTTAGAGTATCTGCAATGCATGTTTGGAAGGTAAAGTTCTCCCTCCGTACGTCACATGATTCGGTTGCCTTTGGAGTTCACTCAGCCACCTCTTTCGACCATTGGCGTCTCAACCGATCTTTGCAGCCGGCTGTGCAGCCGGCTGTCTTCTATACAACCGTGAGACTGTTCTACACTTCCCTAGCTTTGAGCGTCGCGCATTTGTGACTGCCCCGCACCTCCGGCTGCCTAAGGCTCCTCCTGCCAAAGAAAGGGGCTACGCCTGGGGATGAGCTGGATGCGATGCTCGGAACAAGTGTGGGAAGAGTCAAATACCAATACAGCAACTGCTGGTTGCAATTTCCGTGCTTGCTGACTCGCTCGGCATTTTGCGGTTTAAGGGCCCTCTGCATATTGAGAGCAGTGTGAGATGGTGTGTTCCTGCTTGAAACAGTCCTCACCCTATAGCCCGATCACCGTGATGACTGGAAGTGCAGTCGCATGGCAGTTTTGGATGCATGGGGCTAAGGTATGTCTGTACCTGCGTGTACGATGTGAGCGCGCATAAATCGTGCCTTCCTCGGCTGTGCAATCTAACATCCGGCAGAGTCCTGGCTGTGATGAGAGGGAATCATAGCACAGGGCTAATGACGCCTGGTCTTCTTCTCGACTCGCATGTTTTACGAAGCATGAACGATGGGTAATGACGTCACACGCAGGGCGCATGTCCAACGCGTCTGAGGTTTTATGCTTTCCTGGACGCCGACGACCTGGCCGCAGGCGCAAAGGCCGAGGCACGGGACGGACGAGGGTTGGTCCTTTTGGCGTGCGTCAAGAAACGAAAAAGTGGTTTCCCCTTTAAACAAATTGATAATAGTTTAGATGGCGATATTCCAGATCCAAATAACATTAATTTAAAACATGATTAGACCTACATTTGTCCATCAATAGAGAATAAAAGTACCAGCAGGGTTACAACACGAGGATCCAGACATTGGTTTCCTACTGAACCAGCCAAAAGTGGGTACCCTCAAAAAGGACACCTGGTTCAATCATGTTGAGGGGTTCGCAAAATTTCCTTTGGGGGTGTTTTCCGAGCAGCCACCAGTTCGAGGGTGGTGGTATTGAAAATGCTTCAAACTGCCCCGAGATGCCCCCAAACATTCCCAAACCCTTCGACTCTTGGTTTCTGGAGGTTTTTTTGGGTTTGGTTCTCCCCCAAAAAACGCAGGGCAGGGAACATCGGTTTCTAGTGCCTTTTCAGTGCTCCGCTGTTCCCTTACACAAAACTTGATGGCTCAGACCAGCGGCCCTGGTGCTCGCCAGGTGCATCTTCCAACGCACGTGCCCTACTCCTTTCACGGAGAGTGGGTTCCAGGCGATGTCCGCCGATCGGTTTGGGCGAAAGAACTGGAACCCATCGGAACACCATGTGCGTTTCCCGTTCAGCTTGCGCTGGGAGCCAGATGCGCCTTTTGTCACCGGGGCAAGGTTGTCGTGTGTGTGTTTTGTCATTGTGAGTCAAGGTGAGTATGAGTGTTCCTTCCTTGCTTCCTTGCTTCCTTGCTTCCTTGCTTCCTTGCTTCCTTGCTTCTTTGCTTCCTTGCTTCCTTGCTTCCTTGCTTCCTTGCTTCCTTGCTTCCTTGCTTCCTTGCTTCCTTGCTTCCTTGCTTCCTTCCTTCCTTCCTTCCTTCCTTCCTTCCTTCCTTCCTTCCTTCCTTCCTTCCTTCCGACTTTTTTTTCTTTTCTTTTTTTTCTCGTTTTTTTATTTCTTTCCCTTTTCCCGTACTTGAATTCATGAGTGGGTCTCGCCTAGCGATTCGGCAAGCCTCACAAAATCCCGGCACCCAGGCCGAGTGGACCTGCTGGCAGCGGCGAAGTCCAAGCGCTAGGGCGCAGGAAAAATGGTGCGGCGGCGAGCGCGGCGGAGAGGAGGAAGCGGCGTTCTGAGGTTTTTGGGTAACCACTCAGGCAACCACACCAAAGGACTTTTTTGTGTAACACACCTTGTTTCTGAAGGACTTTTTGGGTCAGATGGTGAGGTAACCGTGCTCCCAATATAGGGTAGCAATGCTGAAAAAAGGGTAAGAGCGCCAAGAATCGTGTTTGGGTTTACCACCGGTAGTCCTGATCATTTGTTGTGCACCCGTTTGGTATGTTTTCAGTGTTCAGGGGACTGCACTTAGGAGGTGAAGAGTCCTGTCGTCAAGAGCGAGCTACTTAGACTATGATTCGGACAGCTATTTATATCGGCGGTGGTCATTATACAGGGAAGCTTGGGGTCATTGACTCAGAATACTGGGGATGACCAACAGGGATTTGCCCAGCAGGTGCGTGAAGTGTGAGCAAGGCCCTTCAGTTTGTCCAACACTCGAACCTCTCGCTCAGTGGTCGAACCGCAGGTTGATCCGGATGTTCCCTCTCGAAGAGGCCTGGAGTGCTTTTCCTTGAACTGCTTGGTTTTCACAAATGCCCAAACTTAGTGCGTGTCCTTTGGTTCTGATGTTCAATGGGGAAGAAGAAGGGAGCCAACCTGACAAGGGCACCCTCAAATGACACGAGCGCAGAAACTTATGGCCAGTTGCGCAAATGTGCAGGGCGGCCAAGGGGCTCGAGGAGCGGGAGGGAAAGCTGGCGAAACGGCTGAAAGCTCGGCTCGGAAATGACGTCGCCACCGTTCAGTGGCGGTTTGCACAACTTGATCGATGTGGGCACGTGCTCGTCATTTTGCTGTGAAGCTTTTTGAAGAGCAGTTGCCTACAGAAGCTTCTCTTGAGTGGGGTTGAATTGAGCTACGTAGGAGCAAGCCTTTGCCAGACGCCGAGAGGCCAGGCCGCCATACTCGACCCGAGAGCAACGATGTGCTGCAGAAACTGCTGGTCAATGTCATCGGCCGAAGGGCGACCCATTGGATATCTCATGGTCTTAGGAGTGACACTTTGGCGGGCGGGCATGCGTGCCGGCTTCAGCCGATCAGCTGAGCAGGTGCCCCTATTGCCAGAACTGCCAGAATGTGCCCCTTCCCAGTGGCCAGCTTAGCCAGGAGTTAGCGGCTAGTCCCTTCGCCCAGCGGGTGACTGAAGCCCTTGGATGACTTGAGATACTTGATGCCCTTTTGTGAGGCAAATGCAGAGACAAAGAACATGTTGTGGCGGGGCAAAATGCATGTCTTACCGAGCACATGACCCAACTATTTACGTCGCACATTGTTGCGGAGGTGTGGCTTCGAGAGACAGGGGCTACCCGTTTTGACGACAGGGTAGTGGCAACATTTTGACTCGTTTGGCCACTGAGGTGTGGTAGAGGATACCGCAGAGCCCAGGCAGGGCCGCGTTCCATCAGGAAATGAGCTAACCTCCATGGGATTTGGCCATGGGTCAAAACCCGAAACCTTCCAGTGAACATCCCAATCCCCACTTAAATGGACGAAAATGGGTGGTGCACCTCCCCCAAAATGGTACCATTGGTTTTGACCCACAGCCATTTGTTTCCAGCGCGAGGCCTTGAAACAGAAGCCATTTCCCTCACTCACACATCGCGGTTCTGAGGGTCCTTCTCCATTCTTTCCAGGATCCTTCTTTTTAGGAAACCATCAACCACCCAGGGGGAAACAGCCGGTTTTTGAAAAGAACGATGGTTGAAAAGAATGGGGAATCAACCACTAGAATCGCGGTGTATTGTTTTGCAGCGCTGCAGTCCGCCGCACCGCACTATGGCACCCCAGCGGTCTTTGCTGAAGGCGCGAAGGGGCACCGGAAGCGCCCATAGCAGCTAAACCATCATGACGTCCTGCGGGAAAACTCTACTTCTGTCAGCATGCTGTTTTGGTCAATGCGGTTGTGACCTGCCGGTGGAAGGCTAGTCAACCTGGGCCTTTCTGAGAGTTCTACTTGTTTGCCAGTATCGTACTTTTCTAGGACCGTCATGAGTGGCACAGATCGATGCGGGCTGGTGTCGTTCAAGGTTTCACGCCACGCGTTCATCGGGGCTTGTTTCATCATTGGGATGGGCTCAGCGCGATGCAAACACGGCGTGCAGGGCAGGGGTGCTCCGCGGCATCCGCGAAAGGCGCGCTGTACGACAGCCCAAAAGGCTGAGCGCTTTGATGGTGTCCCAAAGGCAGTCGAGGCTTGCTGGTTCTCAGCAGGGAATCAGGGAATGACCCCTGTAAATTCCATAAACTCTACAAACCATCCCCCACGGATTCCTTTCTTCGGGAATCCCGAAAAAAACCGGAAACTCATTCCGTAAATTTCCCAGCCCACGTCACTCCGCGTATCGCCCCGGAAGCCTGCGCCGCCAGGTGGGCTTCGCCGCCGAGCTGCTGCCCCAGAGCCCTTTGTTGGCACCGCCCGCGGCCGAAAGGCACGCAGGGGTTTGGTGGAAAACCCCCAAGCCAGTGAGTCACTGGGGTGATGTTCAGGTCAACCCCCAAGCCACTCACTGGGGTGATTGATTTTCAGCAAGTGCAAGTGCACGCCTCGATTTCTATTGAATTCGATTTCTTGTTTGGTCCATTCGCTCTTAGCTGAGGACTCGCACGGTGCCCATTGAGAGCTTCGGGCAGCTGCATGAGCTGTGGTTCGATCCGGCCAAAGCCTTGGAACGGGGGGAAGGGGTTCTATGGTCCATTGACTCTCTGAGAGGGTATAGCAAATCTTGCTCCTGGCACACAAACAATAAGGATGTTCCTGTCGTTCGCCACAACTGCGGTTTCGGAAGTCAGCAGTGGAGCCGCGTTTTATCAATGATCGGTGTCCATTCGTACGCCATCGGAGACGTGCGTTTGCCTTTTTCCTTCAAAGCCTGACAGTATTCAGTCACGACTTTTCCGGTCAGTCAGACCCTCATGCTAGAATGATGTCCTTCTATCCAAGCCTCAAACCATCCGCAACCACCTGCCCACGCCCATGTTCAGGACACGCCACGCACATAGATTTCTGTCTTTGTTCGGATATCCTCTGCATCGGGGCAAATGCTTGTTCCTTGCAAACTGCGGGCACGTGAAAGTGGTTGATGGCAGTGTTGACCTCGAAAAGCTAGGAGTCTCGCAAAATGCTTCCGAAAAAAGAAGAAACAACAACGGGAGCCGCTACGTGTTTGACCGCGGCTCACATGCCTCGCTGTGAGACCATCACCGCCGAGTGCAACTCCTGCCACAATCGTTTTCGCTGGGGCTTGGCTCTCAGCGCGATTGCAAAAGTAGCATGGCATTCAAAATACCTTTTAGGGTGTCCTCCTTTTCGACCACCGTTTCGAGACAACCCTCAGAATGGATGTCAATGTTGGCCCAACAGGTGAATGCACTGTGATGGTAGACATGTTTGCTGCTTGTCCGTGTCTCCCTGCTGACGAGTTGCTTGCTTGGTCCATATGCCGCATCGCTGGGTGGCATTGACTGGGATCCTGTGGCCATTGCTTGTGAATGGTACCCTAGAAAGCCATTCAGCGGGCCAGAGCTATCACAGTGCACAATCAACGTTCGTTCTGTAGGGATGACTGTTCTCTCCTTGCAAGGTTGATGTTTGCTAGGGAACCATCTCAAGAATGATTGAACATACATCCCCACCTACCCTTTGGGTGGACTGAAAAACGGTTCCATTTGGGGTGGTGTTGGGGTGGCACCGTGGCATTCCCACTGCGCCAGGTAAGGAGGCCATCTTGAAGCAGGACCCCGGCAGGTCGGGCTTCGCCAGCACGGAGGTGCTGTGCCGAAGCTGCCAGCTCTCCAACGCCTTCGAGAAGTTGGGCGGTTGGTTCATCGTGCTCTCTGCGGCCCGAGCCTCGGTGACCAGGCTGCGCCTTCCTGGCGTTTTTCACGGCGACCAACAAAAACGCATGAAGCTTACATATTGTGTATACTATACATATTATATATATATATATGTATATTTGTTTATGTATTCACATGCATTGTATTGCTGTGATGGGGAAACGCTCACGATTCAGGCGCATTGATGGGAATGCCGCATGATCTGTATGTTTACGGAGTTTGCTTTGTTCTGACTGCTCGGAGTCACATTGACCTGCTCGCCCAGTGCAGAGACAGCCGCGTTCCCATCGCAAGTGGCTGGAAACTCAGTTTGCCGCAAGATGGTGAAGTGCCTCCCTCCCTCCCTCCCTCCCTCCCTCCCTCCCTCCCTCCCTCCCTCCCTCCCTCCCTCCCTCCCTCCCTCCTCCCTCCCTCCCTCCCTCCCTCCCTCCCTCCCTCCCTCCCTCCCTCCCTCCCTCCCTCCCTCCCTCCCTCCCTCCCTCCCTCCCTCCTTATGCGATTGATTGTCTTGGTTATGATGGAAACAGAGGAGAGGTGCATCAGAGGTTTGGAGACTTATGGCTAATTAGCCAAACCCATTTGCCCATCCGAGATTATTCCATGGATCTTGTGGAGGAAATCATGGACTTGGGTCTGCAACTCAGTCGGTTGACCACGGGACCCCGATGTGGAGCCAGCTCTTGTCAAGCTTGGTGGCTCCCCGCCATCCCCTTAAGTTTAGTGGTAGTTTCCATTTAGCCCACTAAAAGTTATTCACTTTTAGCGGGAAATCTGAAAGCAGCCCAGCTGTTTGGCTATTGAGTGGCCCCATTGGATCCTGCGAACCCTGCCACCTTTGGGTGCCTTTTTCGGCTACCCCGGTGGGCTTCGGATTCGAAGCTTTTTCAAACTGCGGAAAGTCGAAAAGGAGAGCAAGTTGCCCATACCCGTGAAAAGTCGAAGAAAAAAACAGAACAACAAATAACACGACAAATTAAAACGCCTAAACGCCCACCACACGCAACTCGAAAAGTCAAACAATAAGCAGTTGAGAACTCAAAAAGTCTGGACAAGTCTCGACAAGTCATGACAAGCCGAGAAGTCGAAGCTTCAAAAGATCGCGAAAGCTCGAAACCACAACATGCAAACACTGGTGATGTTGAGAAAGAAACCAGTGACACACCATCATTGCTGCTTTTTGCCTTGGCCTGCTGCTCAGTGAGCCTCCCTTTTTTATTGTTGATGGCGAATGGATGTGTGAGCAAATGACCATTAGCCCTACTCACAATACCTTCTTGTTTAGCCCACCTCCAATAATGCTAACCCTGGATACCCAAGTGGAGGCATGTATCGGAAAACCAGGCTTTTCCAAGAATACCCTTAAACAGTTGGTTTTTGGAGAGAGGGAGAGTGACATTCGTGCTTTATCCCGGCTGCCGCTGCAATCAGGTGTGTACCATGGGCAAGAGCAGAGTGTTGTTTGGGAAGGTAATGCTAGTGACTGCTAGTGACAGCCTTAAAACCCCCATGCGAGCCTACCTGGTTGGAGTTTTGCTCTCAAAGTGCCTACACAGTGCGTGTTTCGTGCGACAACTAGTCGCGCGCGCGCGACTACGGGCAAACTGTCAAGTTGAGTCTATGCGGTGGCTACGCAAGAAGCTCCCCAGCCGACTGTCAAACAAGTGGCTAGGCGGGTGCAGCAATATGCCTAAGCGGGATGTCCACTCTAGGCATTGAACCCTTGCATTTGACTACTACAGCGTACATTTTCCAGATAGACAGCACTATGCTACAGGCGCGCTTGTGCGCCTGCACTCGGCCCAAAGTACCACACAAACAAACAACAGCTTGACGGATTCCTCCATCATTGCTGACCACAAGAACACCTGAAAAGCATGGTGGTTCAACAGAAACGACCCGATCTCAATTTCGGTTCGGTAAGAACAGAGAACGACTTCCATAATTGCTGAGAACAGATTCTGCGGCAATCCACGAGTGTGTCAATGTCTGGCGTTGTTTGCGTCTTTGAAGGAAAGCCAAAGGAATGCTGCCACAGCCAAGCCTACCACTTCTGGCCATAGGGGCTGTATTGAAAAGGGTGAACTTTGAAGGCGAAAGCGCATACTTGTGAAGTCGGAAAGCTCAAATAGAACGGCGCCGACGAACGCTCCAAAAAGCGGCAATACTGCAAGAACGGAGAAAACCGGAAAACAACGGAACTTCCAGACATTTAGATTAGAGTGAACTACGAACACGGCCAGACAAGCCGCGGACAAATCAACAATCCGAGAAACAAAAAACATCAACGACAAGTCGAACAGCTGAGAAGACCCAAGAGCAGTCAGAAAGGTGAAATGTCCGTAAATCGCCAGAAGTCCGGAAAAGTTGAAAAGTCGCGAAAAGTCGAAAAGTCGCGAAAGGTCGACCAGTCCCAAAAAGAGTGAAGCAAAAGTCGAACAGTCGGAAAGTCAAACAGTTTAAAAGTCCACAAGTGCTGAATTTGTACCTGATGTCAGTTTTGGGTATTCCACCCGAAAAAGAACGAATAGTCGAAAAGTCATTTTGCGAACAGTATGCACCTTTCTCGCTGGGTACCATGTCCCGCGCAGTAAGGACTTGCTTTTTAGAGTATTATTGTATTTTGATGATTTTCAAGGGAAGCAAACATGAAGCCTACCATTTTGGGGATTCCCCAATTATAGACAAACCCCTTTGTTCACAACCTTTGAAGTTTGAGCCTGTGACAGTTGGCCACTCAGAGGCTTACATGGAATCCAGGACTCAGCGTTGGGACACCCATCGATTCTTTCAAGGCCATTTAGCTTTCTTCCATGTTATATAGCTCGAGGGGATAAAATACAAAGATGAACATTGCGGTGAGATGACTTTCGTGCAAGGGGAATCCTGGGCAACGGGTCGAACTACTCAAGCTGCGGAAACGGCCGGTACTTGTGCTTTGAGCGAATGTCGCCTGATCTTGTCAAATTCGGCTCATATCTAGAAATGGCCGTATCCTTAGGTTTTATCAATCGATGTATATATATATATATGCGTATATATATATATATATACATATATATATATATATGCGTATATATGTATACATGTAAATCTTCAAGCTAGTAGGCACCAGTAGGGGACAGATGTGGAACTTAGGGCCTGCTGGCAGCAGATGTGTGGACCCGCTGTCGGACCTGTTGGGCGAGCAGGCGCGGGTTGCCCGCAGAGGTCTAGCCAGGAAGTACTCTCGTACAAAATGGAACGGAGCCTGAAAGACACCTGTCTAGGGGTTGATTCCCCATTCTCTTCAGCCATTGTTCTTTTCAAACACCAGCCATTTTCCCCGGGGTGTTTGGTGGTTTTCTAGAAAGAAGGATCCCTGGAAAGAATTGGGAAGTTACCCCTAGAACTTTGTAGAGGGACCGCCCTTTGGAGGAGTTTTTTTGTTTTAGGGGTTTCGGATGAATTTAATCTCACGTTCAAGGGAGCATCGACCTCGCGTGGACCAAAGGCCCGCGGTGATATGCAAAGCAATTGCGGACCATGGAGGCCTCCGATGTTTGTTCGATTCAGAAGCTTGACTGAGGATCCTGTAGAAACTACTTATCAGGTAGCCCACCAATCGGAGGGAAGCTGATGCTTAGGCATGCCATAGCCTTGTGCACGTGCCGGGAGGTTTCAGATCCACTCGCCTGGTACGGAGTGCTGCAGAAGGCCAAAGTGTCCGTGAGCCATTTTCAAACTTTGCTCGAGACCCTGGTTTGCGCACAAGCGTTTCTGGAGCCATGCGGATGTGGTCAGGCTTCACTCTCAGATGCTGGTTGGATGCCTTGCATAAGCCTCGTCATGCAGTTTGGTGATCGAACCTGCGCACCTGGACATCGTTGTTCAGCAGTTTGCTTTGAAGAATAGCATGAGAGCTATTCAGCAACAACCGTGACCTCATACATGGTCTCGCACCAGGTGTTCTTTCCCAGGGCCTGTTCATCGCGTATCCTTATATGCCGCTTTTAGGACGATTTGAACACGCGTTGAGGCTCATACTTGTGTTTCCGTCGGGTTGTGGCATATTCCCCACCCGCAAACGTGGATTCTCCCCCCCCCCCCCCCCCGAAGCCAGGTTTCATGGCAACGGGTCAGCAAGCCAGGCACGTCACAGGCTTCCGGACTTGTTCCTGCCACCAGGACTGACGTGGACTGCTGGCGCCAAGCGGTCTCTTTGAAGCTGAAGCCCACAGTTGCCACTTGTTTTTTCCATTCAGGCAGCTCAGGCATAGCAGTGGCCCCATGTTCCTTTGCTTTGGTTGTCTTGTTGTTCATTATTTGCAACTCCTTTTGCCCTATTCACATCTCTTGCTGCATGTCTTGTTGCGCTTCATGTTGCATGCTGCGATGTACAATCCACGCCTTTGACCCCGGCTTCCGTTCTGAATCACCTTGCTTCCTGTAATCCGATGTTCAGGAACATGAATACAAAGCAGGCTGCCATCGAAGCGATGCGCGAATGCCCTTTGCGCGCATCCCCTCCGCCCCGAGAGGAGAAGCAACGCCCTCCTTGAGAGGAGAAGCAACGCCCACCCACAGCCGCTGACTCGGACCGCTCTGATCTAAGATTGTTTCCGCCCCCACACCTCTAGCCCAAGGGATACAAACATAGTTTGTGGCCATTAGAGAAAGGGCGTATACCCCGTGGGGGTAGCGGTGTTGAGCACGGTGAAACCTTAGACTTTGTCTCGTAGAAGCAAACAAGATGCTGAAATCGTCTCGCTCAAGTCGTCTCGGGACCTGAGCTCGAATGCGGCGCCGGCTGGGCCAGTGGCGAAGGGCTGGAAGGGACACATCAAATCCGAGTCTTGCAGGACAGTGAGATTTGGATCCAGGAAGAAATGGCAAAGGTGGAACATGGAACAAGCTGTTGAGCGTGCCACCAAGCAAAACTGAATCCCTTGATTCCCATGCGCGCACACCGCCACCATCGTCACCACACGTTGGCTCGGAATCGTATTGGCCCCCTCTCCCTTCACGCACCCAGTTTTTTCAAAATGGGGGTCATACCATGCAACCCAAATCCTAAACCGAGGGGATGGTCGAAGCTTGAGTTACGTTGACATGAGTGGCCGCTCGTTCCACGGGCTCTCTCGCGCAATTTGCTCTTGCCCAGGCCAAAGCCAGGATTATCTTCTGAGCGACGACGAGTCTTTGGCTCGAAAGGCTGGGTGTGCTTTGTAAAGGGCAGGACGCTTGCCTATGGGACCCGGCATTTGTGGAGATTGTGAAGCGGCTGTATGAAGACACCAGGCCTAGAATTCAACAGGCTCATCGCCTTCCCACCAGGCTTTGGCTGAGGTTCAACCCTCGCTTAGGGATTACGAGGCTCGTTTGGCAGGTTCCAGCTGGATGGAGTTAGAGCCATTCGAACTCATCACGGGCCAGAGAGTCCAGCCACCACTGAGTTAGGCTTTGTTCCAAGCTCAACCTTTGGATGTCCAGCAAGCCCTGTGCCAGGCATCTCGAGACCACTCCTGAGTGCTTCCTGACTCGACATGCTCGTTGGGCGAAAGGGGTGCAAGGCACCGACTTGCCTCATCAGGCAGGAGGCTCGTTGACCTTTCCATTCAGTGCCGCGACAGATTGCTTGAAAGGAAATAACTGTTCTGAAGATACAAGGTGTTTTCGGAACGAGGGCAAAGTGGTTGGGACCTTTGTCATTTCTTGGTGTTGGTGTCTCAGGCCAAGTACACACACTCGAGAATCCGGAATTGTGAGAAGTGTTTTGAGTTTCCAACAATACAGTCAAATATTTCGCAAATGTCGGCTCCTTGCACCTGTTCATCCTGGATCTTTTCACTGGAATGGTGCCACCTGAAAAAGGTGCCACGCAAATTGCCAAGTTGCTCATGTTCAGATCGGATCAGGGACAGGCACGGCCACTGATTTTATAGCGCATGGCAACCTGGCGAAACTCGACCAGTGTGCAGCTTTGCTGCGGCGTTCGGAAGTGGACACAAGCTCACCAGGACCGAGCTGCCTCAGCAAGATGTCAGACTTCGCTTTGTACAGTACAACCTGCAAGTCACAGGCTGTTTGCCGTTCAGCCTAGAGTTGATGCCATCAAGGCTGGAAGGTCTTGCATCGTTTTCACTCCACAAAGCGTTGTTTGAGGCTAGGGACTCAGAAGCATGGCAGCCACCAGAAAGGCCTTTTGAGCAGAAGGGAGGCTCATAGCTCAAGGGTTGAGGGCAGATGCGCTCTGGTTGCTGAACTGGCCCAAGAAGGGCTCAATGAGAAATTTCAGACTGAGGGATTGAGTAAACAGTCGACAGGAAATGAGTACGTGAAGTGCTTGAGCGCAGATCCGATACAGCGTTCGGAGAACTTGTGGGCGCACGTTCTCAGAAGGTTCTTTGCGTGTGGAAAAAGTGCGATTGACAGAGCAGCTGTATGTGTGTTCAGCGCCGGAGGGAATTTGCTGGTCTGTCTTGTGAGGTTCTCTGCCTCTGGGCTGAGTGGGTATTCCATTGACGTCTTTTGCAAGCTCTTTTCACCACAGAACTGCTAATCTGGAGCACAATTTCTGCCGCGCGATAGAGCGGGGCTCAAGCGACCCAAACCTCCACTTGGTCTCACGGAGAGTGTCAGGACTCCATCCGAACATTCCAGACAACACACAGAATCGAACCACAGATCAAAGAAGGCAGCTCATGTTGGCCAGGTTTCTTCTCCGGAATTGCACCGATTCTTTGCCATGCCGCTCAGTACCAGCCCTCCTAAAAGGGGACCCCCGAGGCATCGGAAGTTGCGGAAAGGTTCTCGACTTGATCCGTTAGAGCCAAGGCCCATCTGCCTTGCAGTGCACGGCCAGGTTCTTTGAGGAACCTCTTCCGCCGCCGAGCTGCAGAATCACAGAATTTGAGTGGTCTACATTCATTTTCAAGTGACCTTCTGCCAGTTTCCATGTTAAAACGTGCGAGGGCCGCTTTTGTGGTTTTACGGTAGATAGTAGACGGCTGAACGAATACCTACCACAACCTGCTGGATCAGTTCACAACAACCGCATAGCCTGTGAGGGGCTCTCTCCGGTTTCCATTTGATGGTGGAAGACTTGGAACTGGATACTTCGGCAGGGCTATCTCTGTCTTTTTCTCTTTCATACACCTTGCCAGCCTCAGGCGGGGACGGCTGGGCTCGACGATGGCGCCGCTGTTTACAGAAGCCATGTCAACTGTCAGGCTCCTATGGTGTTTTCCGCGCCTTTTGACTCACATCTCCACATGTGCCATGGTGTTTTTCCTGGGCGTTTTTTTTGTTTCTTGGGCTTAGTGCTGGGCCTAGGGAACCTTTCGCCATGGCCAGGACCCGGCGGGGCTCTGTGTGTGAGAGGCACACGAATGCCCCGGGGCCGGGGCCACAGCTCGGAAGGAGTTCTCGTTTGTCGCGGTTCGTTTCGCTGCTTGCCTTCGGGTGCATGTTGGACCTTGTTTTTCTGTGGGGCGCCCCCCCTCCCCTCCCCTCGAACAGTCAAAACTACCGATATTAAACCAGGTGCAACATTTATGAGAAGCAGCATGAACATTGAAATGGGTGTGGCTCGAAATGAAACAGGAGGGGCAGACCGCAGGTTTTGGTCCATGGTTCCACTTACCAGGGTTTTGGTACCCAGGAGCAAAAGCTGAAGTATCCAGTTGAGGCTTCAATAGAGGCTTCAATGGGATCCCCGCTACACTCCCAATCCAAACCGAGAGGGGGGTTGATTTGAGCCCTGGAGTTGTCCTGAATTGAGCGGGCGGCCTGGCGTCATCTTGAGGTCGCCCTCCATGAGGAACCAGCGGCGGATGCTCACGAAGTCGAAGACCAGGAGCCCAAGCAGAAGCATCCGGCATCCGCTTTGATTATTTTGTGGATCTCCGGAGATTGCGAGGGGTTGTCACTTGTTTGGGACCAAAAGGGGATGCCTTGAAACAAAGGAAAGAGGGCAAGTTTGAGGATGTCACTTGGCTGTGGGTCAAAACCAATGGTACCATTTTGGTAGGTGAATTCACCACCCATTTTTGAACCGATGTTCGTGGTTGGATTGGGTCCAGTTCACTGGCTAACCGATTGGGCTTTGGATTTTGAGCCATGGCCACCTCCCTTGACCCTGATCTCAGCCAATTTTTGTCGCAAGGAGAACCGAGCTGCTGGTGCTGGGCTTGGACTTAGAGCCGCTATGTAGCCCAAGGGAATAGATACCCGGTGTTCCCAGAAAGCCCACCCATGGTGTGGTTTGGGGAGTTTTGGAATTGGCGCTTGAAAGCGAGGACGTCAATTTGTAGGCACATCTACTGATACGGATGGTTCATCTAGGGTGCCATGCTCTTGTGCCCTTCAGAGGCAGCGTTGGAGAAGGTGGAGAACATGAACAAGCCTCGTGCACGAGTCTCGAGCTTTCTGGATATTTTCGAGGACTCTGCATTTCTGCACTTCGGGGCACGCCATGCTCTGCTCTTTTTGGTTTAACACTCTCCTTTGATCGACCGAGGGGTTTGCCAGCCTCGGGTTTCCATAACCAGCTGCGGTGACACTGATTCGGCAAGATGACCCAGCTTTGATTTCTCCAGACGGTTTGCGGCTTGAGACATGGGTCTGGCTTTGTCTGTACCCTTTTTGGTGTTGGTTCGAAGGGTAACCCAGAGGAAGCCACAATTTTGGTTGGGTCCATGCGGATGTGCTGCGCTCGTGAAACGACTTGGATTCATCGGCTCCGTGCCCTTCAAGTTTGAAAGATTTCGCCCCTGACCCAACAGCCCAGATGGGTATGTCCCTTGTCATTCCGTTTGGACAAAACCTGGAAGTGGAAGCCCATCAAAACGCGCAACCTGGAATATATATATATATATATATATGATAATATATATATATATATATGTATAATATATATATATATATATATATTTAATTATACACACACACATGTGTCTGTGTGTATGATTTGAAACTACATATCGCTGCTCTGATGCATTCTCCTTTGTTTCTGAAACAGTCCGTCAACCTTCAGGCTCTTGCACTATGTGTCGCGCACAAAGCCTTGGCGTTTCGTGTGCAAGGATGTATTTAATCGGCTACTTGAGTCATATGTTTGCTGGTCTTGCTGTTTGAGTTTGTATAAAAGCCACAACCGACAGGAAAACCGCCATGTTTCGGCGACACATCCACTCACTCAGTTCCACGGTCCCACGGTCCCCTCGCAGGAGGAGGAGCTCCGGCCCCAGTCTCGTCGGCCCTCCTCGCTGCCTGGCGGCCTCGGCGAAAGCCGGCTGGATTCCCAAGGCGGGGCTTCGCAAATCGCCCGGTGCGGCTCGATGGCGCGAAACCGAAACCAAACGATGCTCCAGCATAGAAGCAGAGAAATGGTGGCTTCAGGAAGCTGGTGTTTCAGGCATCCTCTAGGTTCCGTTAGGGAGGGGAGTTTATTTGCTCTGCATTGCCCGTGTTGGTTCTACCACCGGCTTTCATGGGGGGTATAGTAAGGCCTATATAAACGCTTGCTGGTAGAACCAAATGTCAAATGCCATTCGGTAGGTTTTGGGGCTGCTCAGTTTGCAGGAGTGACTGTTGACTTGAACACTCCAGAAGCTCACTTGGGGGGGAGAGGACCATTGCAAGGGGATTGCCACTACCATTTTTCCTGGAGCTCCTAGTGTGAAAATATGTGAGCCGAGAATGACATTGTGCAGAGGGAGAGAAGTTCAGCATCAAGCACGCAGTGTGAGGTTGGATCCCTGCCAGTCTGCATGGCTTGTGACAGTTGTGCGCGTCTTACCTGTTCTGGCCTATCAAATCTGTGTTTGGCGATCTCACCGATTCGGGGATGTAGTTACTTGGACCCATTCCTTCTTTTCAGGTTTTGCAAGCACTAGTAACTCTCACGCAGTTCATGTTGCAAGGCGTATTATGAGTAATTCCGGGACAGCACTGGAACAGCAAAGCGCAGCACGGAACACTGGTGGTACAGCTGGCACAGAACCGGAACCACTAAAACGCTATCGAGGTGCCAGAAGCAATATGGGGATACCAGTACAGCAAAGAGGACACCTGCAGCAGGGCATCAATCAGAACACCTGCGCGCAAGACCTGGAGCAGCGCTGTGACGCTTTGCTTGCACGGACACTTGTCAGGTTCTAGTAATAGAGTCCAAGACCACATAGTTGGACGATTCTGGGCTGCGAGGTTTGTGGGATTTTCTTCTTTAACCAGGACCTCCATTGTTGGTTGCTTGTCGAGGGAAACCATGAGTAATTCAGTCTTTGGGGTTTCCGCACATTTTAGGAAGCTGCATCCCTTTGCTGGCAGGATCCGGTCTTGGATTCTTCCAGGCTCGTGCTGGGCAGGGACGGGGTTGGGTTGCTCTTGCAAGTTAACGTAGAGAAATGCAGGTCACAGTCTTTTGGCAGATGTTCCTTCCCACAACTTGGGTGGCGAGGGTTGCCTTCTGATTGCATTTGAAACTGGGCACTTGCCAGAAGTGGCACCAACACGGTGGCTGCAATGGCATGTCACGTTATACCAATTAGTGGGGGCTTCAATCATTTCTTGGTTATATCTTTCCCTGTTCAACGTAGGTGCGGCATCCGGGCACGTCGCCGCAACAAAAACACGGTGAGATCCCCCCCCCCCCCCGTGAGCCAGCGCAAACTCCTAGCTTCTAGGCCTGGTGGCATCGAGCACAACTTGTCATCGGAAGGAAACCAAAATACGAAACATACGCAATGCAAAAGCTTCGCAATCATTTCGGCTGCTTTCTGTTTTGCTTGAGCCCCAAATCCCGCCACGAGATACGGCCTCATTCCAAACCCAACCCAAGCGCTCCAACAACCACTGGCTGCCCGGCCAACTTGAGGACAAGTGGAAAGACCTGGAGACGGCTGTGCAGCCCCTGGCCCAGGAACCTTCGAGCGATTGAACCTGATTTCAGCCTGAGCTGTGCCCCAAACCCCATGGGCCTTACAGTAAGAATAAGGCCTTTCAGTTTTGGGCACTCACCTTTACAAGCTCATTTTTTTCCTTTTATTGAAGGGGGGGGGGCCGGCTTATCAACAAGCCTGGTCTTTTTCACTGTGCCGACAGTGCCGACCATTCTTAAGCCATCCTTCTCAAACACAACCACCGGTTTTCCCTGGTTTTTTGGTGGTTTTTCGGAAAGGACCTGGAAATAGAGAAGTTGGCATGTGCCCAAATTACTTTCCATAGTGCCTGAGCCGCCGTTTCTAACCATTGACTCAGAGAAACCATTGAAGCGCACCAGCTAAACATCAGGGTTATTATGGCTTTACCTCGAACAAATCTAACCCAATTTGCTGCCAGCACGGGTCACAAGGAACCCCTTTGTCACTGGGTTGCATCGCCCCCATCCGTACGTGTTGGTCGAGCAAGATGTCCAAGAATAGGAGGCTAAAAGCCAAGGGTCACGTACCCTTGCCGAGTATCGAACTTGGTTGCAGCTCGCAAGGTGAGTTGCTGTCACTTAGGCGTTGGGCTTCGGATGTGGCAGATTTGTTCCATTCCGAGGGTTATATCCAACAGTGCACGGAAGCATTGGAGGCGAGTCCAAGTTTGCACAGTCTGTGACCTCTTCCCTCCCTCAGACCAGCATCGCAGGAATCGATCTACTGACGAACCTGCATGACTCTTTGATGGGGCATTTGTTGCGCTTTCCATATATATATATAATCAATGTATCTTTACTCAGGATGAGTTCCATGATTGCCAGCCAGCCTTGAGACATTTGAGCAACCCGCAACCCCCCCTTGGCCAATATAGACAAGGGTTCTACTTGGTTTAGTATGAACTCAGCAAGATGCGTACACACCTTCATCACCTTCTTGGTGGAACCAAACGTCAACGCTTTTGGGCGCTCGACTTGAGCCGGGTGTTGAGGCCGCAGCTTCGAAATCGGGCCTACACGGAGGCAGGAAGTTTGTTGGGAGCTGCCCACCGTACACCGCATCATCGCATCGCCCCAGCTAAATGGCCAATGCTGGCTTGCTTGGCACATACTCATTTGAAGGAAAACAACAGCAGAAGGAGAACCACTCCAAACCTCTTCAGTATGAGATTTGTGCTTATCAGGCCAGCACATCCTTGCTTGCCTCTCCAGATTGCTCGGTAGGAGCTGCGAAGGGACTTGTTGGTGGAGTTTGACGGGAAGAAAGAGATGGGCCAAGCTGTGAAAGCAGGCTACATCACAGAGGACCGATAAAGTTGCTGTCAGGCTTGTTCCTACGGGTATTTGCAAGAAACTGATGAAGCAGTAGGCAAGCTGGTTTCCAGCCGTGTTTCTTTGTTTCAGCTACCATGTTTGGTTCATTCCAACCCATCAAGAAACTGCTTGCCAGGCTTGCATTGCTTGACGCACTGGTGCCTCGCAGGACTTCTCTCGCTTGGTGTATGACAAGTTCAAGAACGAGGATGAGCATCCTTCTTACTTGACTTACAACCATTAACTTTCCTATTTCGCGCTATGTCATGGTGACATGAACAGAAAATCCGGTTCGGGAAGCAAACACCATGTAGCAACTAAGCTTCAGAGACTAATAAGGTTGCCGTGGTAGTATGGGATTGATTGAAACCGCGAGCTTATTGTTCTGGCTCTTGCCACATTTTCGGTCGCGAGCCGAGCGATCGCCTGAGGCCGGCCTTTCTGCACGATTTGCACTTGGAGGCGAAGCAAACAAAATCAGGAGAGCTTTGCATTTTGGCAGCTGTGAGGCATGCGGTGGGATCGTAAACGTGGCCGAGATCCCCTTGACAGAGTCCAGGCCTTAGGAGTATGGAAGGGTCGCCAAGGACGGAGCTAGTTCGCATTCTTGCCAAGGAAGTACTTCTGGTTCATCGTGCTGCTCGTGTCCGTCGCCTTCAATGTGTGCTACCTGGTGCACCTGGATTGGCTGCAGCCTTAGCTAGGCTGAACCTGTTGCACTGGTTGGTAAAGATTTCTTTTTTCAGAAAAAATCAGGCACCCATAGAACGTCCTTGAGCCCACCTCTCCACCTATTCACCTCTCCACCTTCGTTTTTTTGGGTGGGGACATGCCATATGGCATCCACAACCGAGGAACATCTTCAAGACTTACTTCCTGGAGGTCTTTGGCACCGTGAACTTGCGCCTCATCGCAGGCGCAGATGCTTCGGATGCTTCAGATGCTTCAGGCACGAAGGCGGCTATGCCCCCCTTTTCCGGGCTCCGGGGGGCCCGGCGGCTGCTTTGGTGGATTTCAAGGGGAAAGGGAGGGGAAGCAGAACGAACCACGGGGATTTCTGCATGATGCCAGATCGCCTGCAGAATGGTGGAGGCGAGCAATCCAAGGAGCGGATCGAGGCCAGGCGCGGCGCACATTTTGGGATAGGGATGGTTGTGGACCAATGGAAGCATGGGAACCATGGACATGGACTAAGGAGTTTTGACCGTGGCCACAGAAAACAGCGGCAAAGAAGCGAAGAAGGACCTCAGCGCCAACCTGGAGGTCCCTAAAGCAGATGCGACCCGCTTTATGGATTCCCTGAGGACTACTTTCACGCCAGAAACAGCACCAGTTGCTGTAACAGCCAAAAACTACGAAGAGCCGTAATGATTTGAAAGAACAGGTGACAGAAAGCCAAACCAGAAAAAGGAATAAATACAAAGTACAAGCAATGACATTGGAGCAAACCGAGATATTTGCTTAAACAGCACATTCCACGTGTGTGATGCAGGCGGAGCTCTTTGATGACCCGAACTTCAAGGCATGTGCGTGTGTGGTCGCTGGCGGTTGGGGGTTCGACTATTGCATGTCAGCCAATGTGACGTTTTAGGCACCCCATCAAAATATGGTTGAATTGCCGCACTCTGTGGATATGGCAGCCACCAACAGTGGAACATGCAAGTAGCAGAGGCAACAGGAGATTCCAGATGATGCTGGAGATGCCAGGCAGGTGTGAACGAAACACACACACACACACAGACACACAAACACACAAACGCACAAACACAAACGCACAAACGCACAAACGCACAAAGGCACAAACACACAAAGGCGCAAACAAAATCACACAGCCACACAGCCAGACAAACACACAAAGACACAAACTCAAAACACAAAACACACAATCACCCAAACGTACAAATGCACAAACGCACCCACGCACCAACGTCCTAAATGAGGCTTGATGATGTCAATTCGTGGTTGTGGTGAATGTTCACTTTTTTGATCGCGGCCTTTTTCAAGCAACTCCCAAAACCTTTGGAGCAGCCTTCCAAAGCACACAGTTGAACTACTTTCATGCGGCATCAAGAAGAGGCGGTTGCAAGACCAAAGTAGTATTCAAAAAAGAATATGCTCAGCAAGAAGTGGTTGCCAGACTAGAGTAGTAGTCCAAAGACAATGCTCAGGAAGAAGTGGTTACAAGACTAAAGTAGTATCCAAAAATCTGCTCAAAAAAGTGGTTGCAACATTCAAGCCATACACGAAAGCCCGGGCAACACACGTATTTTCGCATCATGTAACATACTGGCTTCGGCTTGGCCTCCGTTATGCGTCAATGCCCTCAGAAATAAGGTCGGTTTTCATTGACCCCCTAACTCAGTCCGTTGAACAGCAAATCTGTGTGCTACCCGACAAGCAGATTTCGAACCATTCGGCTGCGCAAGGCGAGTATTTTCGGGCTGATATCAGACCATCCGCCGCGCCCATAGAACGACAGCCCCTCTCCTGCGATGGCTTTGCACAGGGGAAGCCTGTTCTCCCAATTGAAGAGAAAAGCGGGCAGTCATCAAATTGGGACTTCCCTTTGCCGAATCCAGATCTTAACGAATGGCCTGGGCAAGCGTCCTAACAGGCAGTAGGATTCATGGCAGGGCCTCTCTGCAGCCAGACCCGGGCGCCCTGGTTCCTTGTTGTAAGCCAAGGTCTTCTTTGCAACCACTTTTGACTCGCCTCAGTTGCTTCCTTGCAAGCGAGGAACACCTCACAGAATAGACCTGACAATGGCAAGTTGTGCGTGAGAGAGAGAGATAAGCGTGTCATCCTGGGGAAATGATGGATCTCGCTGCATCCTTTGATTTGGGCTGGCCCCTCGCGAGAATGCGAAGTGTGGTGCTTAGGACCCGTATGATGATCGTCAATGCTGCTGTCATGGTTGCCATTTGGGAGGCCAGGGGACAAGAAATAGACATTCTGCATCGCTGGCATCTGCTGTTGTTGGTGCTGTTGTTGCTGTTGCCCTGGCTCTTGCTCTTTCTCTTGCTTTATCTTTCTCTTGCTTTATCTTTCTCTTGCTCTTTCTCTTGTTCTTGCTCTTTCTCTTGCTCTTTCTCTGGCTCTTTCTATTGTTATTTCTCTTGCTCTTGCTCTTTCTTTTGTTCTTGCTCTTTCTCTTGCTTTATCTTTCTCTTGCTTTATCTTTCTCTTGCTTTATCTTTCTCTTGCTCTTTCTCTTGTTCTTGCTCTTTCTCTTGCTCTTTCTCTGGCTCTTTCTATTGTTCTTTCTCTTGCTCTTGCTCTTTCTTTTGTTCTTGCTCTTTCTCTTGCTTTATCTTTCTCTTGCTTTATCTTTCTCTTGCTCTTTCTCTTGTTCTTGCTCTTTCTCTTGCTCTTTCTCTGGCTCTTTCTATTGTTCTTTCTCTTGCTCTTGCTCTTTCTTTTGTTCTTGCTCTTTCTCTTGCTTTATCTTTCTCTTGCTTTATCTTTCTCTTGCTCTTTCTCTTGTTCTTGCTCTTTCTCTTGCTCTTTCTCTGGCTCTTTCTATTGTTCTTTCTCTTGCTCTTGCTCTTTCTTTTGTTCTTGCTCTTTCTCTTGCTTTATCTTTCTCTTGCTTTATCTTTCTCTTGCTCTTTCTCTTGTTCTTGCTCTTTCTCTTGCTCTTTCTCTGGCTCTTTCTATTGTTCTTTCTCTTGCTCTTGCTCTTTCTTTTGTTCTTGCTCTTTCTCTTGCTTTATCTTTCTCTTGCTTTATCTTTCTCTTGCTCTTTCTCTTGTTCTTGCTCTTTGTCTTGCTCTTTCTCTGGCTCTTTCTATGTCTTTCTCTTGCTCTTGCTCTTTCTTTTGTTCTTGCTCTTTCTCTTGCTTTATCTTTCTCTTGCTTTATCTTTCTCTTGCTCTTTCTCTTGTTCTTGCTCTTTCTCTTGCTCTTTCTCTGGCTCTTTCTATTGTTCTTTCTCTTGCTCTTGCTCTTTCTTTTGTTCTTGCTCTTTCTCTTGTTTTAATTTCTCTTGCTTTATCTTTCTCTTGCTCTTTCTCTTGTTCTTGCTCTTGCTCTTGCTCTTTCTCTGGCTGTTTCTATTGTTCTTTCTCTTGCTCTTGCTCTTTCTTCTTGTTCTTGCTCTTTCTCTTGCTTTATCTTTCTCTTGCTCTTTCTCTTGTTCTTGCTCTTTCTCTTGCTCTTTCTCTGGCTCTTTCTATTGTTCTTTGTCTTGCTCTTGCTCTTTCTTTTGTTCTTGCTGTTTCTCTTGCTTTATCTTTCTCTTGCTTTATCTTTCTCTTGCTCTTTCTCTTGTGCTCTTTCTCTTGCTCTTTCTCTGGCTCTTTCTATTGTTCTTTCTCTTGCTCTTGCTCTTTCTTTTGTTCTTGCTCTTTCTCTTGCTTTATCTTCCTCTTGCTTTATCTTTCTCTTGCTCTTTCTCTTGTTCTTGCTCTTTCTCTTGCTCTTTCTCTGGCTCTTTCTATTGTTCTTTCTCTTGCTCTTGCTCTTTCTTTGTTCTTGCTCTTTCTCTTGCTTTATCTTTCTCTTGCTTTATCTTTCTTTTGCTCTTTCTCTTGTTTTTGCTCTTTTTTTTGCTCTTTCTCTGGCTCTTTCTATTGTTCTTTCTCTTGCTCTTGCTTTTTCTTTTGTTCTTGCTCTTTCTCTTGCTTTATCTTTCTCTTGCTTCATCTTTTTTTTGCTCTTTCTCTTGTTCTTGCTCTTTCTCTTGCTCTTGCTCTTTCTCTGGCTCTTTCTATTGTTCTTTCTCTTGCTCTTGCTCTTTCTTTTGTTCTTGCTCTTTCTCTTCCTTTATCTTTCTCTTCCTCTTTCTCTTGTTCTTTCTCTTGCTCTTGCTCTTTCTCTTGCTCTTGCTCTTTCTCTTGCTCTTGCTCTTGCTCTTTCTCTTGTTCTTTCTCTTGCTCTTGCTCTTTCTTTTGTTCTTGCTCTTTCTCTTGTTCTTGCTCTTGCTCTTTCTATTGTTCTTTCTCTTGCTCTTGCTCTTTCTTATGTTCTTGCTCTTTCTCTTGTTCTTGCTCTTGCTCTTTCTCTTGTTCTTTCTCTTGCTCTTGCTCTTTCTTTTGTTCTTGCTCTTTCTCTTGTTCTTGCTCTTGCTCTTTGTCTTGTTATTTCTCTTGTTTTTGCTCTTGCTTTTTCTCTTGCTCTTTCTATTGCTCTTTCTATTGCTCTTTCTCTTGCTCTTTCTCTTGTTTTTGCTCTTGCTCTTTCTCTTGCTCTTTCTATTGCTCTTTCTATTGTTCTTTTCTTGCTCTTGCTCTTTCTTTTGTTCTTGCTCTTTCTCTTGCTTTATCTTTCTCTTGCTCTTTCTCTTGTTCTTTCTCTTGCTCTTGCTCTTTCTCTTGCTCTTGCTCTTTCTCTTGCTCTTGCTCTTGCTCTTTCTCTTGTTCTTTCTCTTGCTCGTGCTCTTTCTTTTGTTCTTGCTCTTTCTCTTGTTCTTGCTCTTGCTCTTTCTATTGTTCTTTCTCTTGCTCTTGCTCTTTCTTTTGTTCTTGCTCTTTCTCTTGTTCTTGCTCTTGCTCTTTCTCTTGTTCTTTCTCTTGCTCTTGCTCTTTCTTTTGTTCTTGCTCTTTCTCTTGTTCTTGCTCTTGCTCTTTCTCTTGTTATTTCTCTTGTCTTTGCTCTTGCTTTTTCTCTTGCTCTTTCTCTTGTTCTTGCTCTTGCTCTTTCTCTTGCTCTTTCTCTTGTTTTTGCTCTTGCTTTTTCTCTTGCTCTTTCTATTGCTCTTTCTCTTGCTCTTTCTCTTGTTTTTGCTCTTGCTCTTTCTCTTGCTCTTTCTATTGCTCTTTCTATTGTTCTTTCTCTTGCTCTTGCTCTTTCTTTTGTTCTTGCTCTTTCTCTTGCTTTATCTTTCTCTTGCTCTTTCTCTTGTTCTTTCTCTTGCTCTTGCTCTTTCTCTTGCTCTTGCTCTTTCTCTTGCTCTTGCTCTTGCTCTTTCTCTTGTTCTTTCTCTTGCTCTTGCTCTTTCTTTTGTTCTTGCTCTTTCTCTTGTTCTTGCTCTTGCTCTTTCTATTGTTCTTTCTCTTGCTCTTGCTCTTTGTTTTGTTCTTGCTCTTTCTCTTGTTCTTGCTCTTGCTTTTTTTTCTTGTTCTTTCTCTTGCTCTTGCTCTTTCTTTTGTTCTTGCTCTTTCTCTTGTTCTTGCTCTTGCTCTTTCTCTTGTTATTTCTCTTGTTTTTGCTCTTGCTTTTTCTCTTGCTTTTTCTCTTGTTCTTGCTCTTGCTCTTTCTCTTGTTATTTCTCTTGTTTTCGCTCTTGCTTTTTTGTTGCTCTTTCTATTGCTCTTTCTCTTGCTCTTTCTCTTGTTTTTGCTCTTGCTCTTTCTCTTGCTCTTTCTATTGCTCTTTCTATTGCTCTTTCTCTTGCTCTTTCTCTTGTTTTGTCTCTTGCTCTTTCTCTTGCTCTTTCTATTGCTCTTTCTATTGCTCTTGCTCTTGCTCTTGCTCTTTCTTTTGTTCTTGCTCTTTCTCTTGTTCTTGCTCTTGCTCTTTCTCTTGTTATTTCTCTTGTTTTTGCTCTTGCTTTTTCTCTTGCTCTTTCTATTGCTCTTTCTCTTGCTCTTTCTCTTGTTTTTGCTCTTGCTCTTTCTCTTGCTCTTTCTATTGCTCTTTCTCTTGCTCTTTCTCTTGTTTTTGCTCTTGCTCTTTCTCTTGCTCTTTCTATTGCTCTTTCTATTGCTCTTTCTCTTGCTCTTGCTCTTTCTTTTGTTCTTGCTCTTTCTCTTGTTCTTGCTCTTGCTCTTTCTCTTGTTATTTCTCTTGTTTTTGCTCTTGCTTTTTTTCTTGCTCTTTCTATTGCTCTTTCTCTTGCTCTTTCTCTTGTTTTTGCTCTTGCTCTTTCTCTTGCTCTTTCTATTGCTCTTTCTATTGCTCTTTCTCTTGCTCTTTCTCTTGTTTTTGCTCTTGCTCTTGCTCTTTCTATTGCTCTTTCTATTGCTCTTTCTCTTGCTCTTGCTCTTTCTTTTGTTCTTGCTCTTTCTCTTGTTCTTGCTCTTGCTCTTTCTCTTGTTATTTCTCTTGTTTTTGCTCTTGCTTTTTCTCTTGCTCTTTCTATTGCTCTTTCTCTTGCTCTTTCTCTTGTTTTTGCTCTTGCTCTTTCTCTTGCTCTTTCTATTGCTCTTTCTATTGCTCTTTCTCTTGCTCTTTCTCTTGTTTTTGCTCTTGCTCTTTCTCTTGCTCTTTCTATTTCTCTTTCTATTGCTCTTTCTCTTGCTCTTGCTCTTTCTTTTGTTCTTGCTCTTTCTCTTGTTCTTGCTCTTGCTCTTTCTCTTGTTATTTCTTGTTTTTGCTCTTGCTTTTTCTCTTGCTCTTTCTATTGCTCTTTCTCTTGCTCTTTCTCTTGTTTGTGCTCTTGCTCTTTCTCTTGCTCTTTCTATTGCTCTTTCTATTGCTCTTTCTCTTGCTCTTGCTCTTTCTTTTGTTCTTGCTCTTTCTCTTGTTCTGGATCTTGCTCTTTCTCTTGTTATTTCTCTTGTTTTTGCTCTTGCTTTTTGTCTTGCTCTTTCTATTGCTCTTTCTCTTGCTCTTTCTCTTGTTTTTGCTCTTGCTCTTTCTCTTGCTCTTTCTATTGCTCTTTCTATTGCTCTTTCTCTTGCTCTTTCTCTTGTTTTTGCTCTTGCTCTTTCTCTTGCTCTTTCTATTGCTCTTTCTATTGCTCTTTCTCTTGCTCTTGCTCTTTCTTTTGTTCTTGCTCTTTCTATTGCTCTTTCTATTGCTCTTTCTCTTGCTCTTTCTCTTGTTTTTGCTCTTGCTTTTTCTCTTGCTCTTTCTATTGCTCTTTCTCTTGCTCTTTCTATTGCTCTTTCTCTTGCTCTTTCTCTTGCTCTTTCTATTGCTCTTTCTATTGCTCTTTCTATTGCTCTTTCTCTTGCTCTTTCTCTTGTTTTTGCTCTTGCTCTTTCTCTTGCTCTTTCTATTGCTCTTTCTATTGCTCTTTCTCTTGCTCTTTCTCTTGTTTTTGCTCTTGCTCTTTCTATTGCTCTTTCTCTTGCTCTTTCTCTTGTTTTTGCTCTTGCTCTTTCTCTTGCTCTTTCTATTGCTCTTTCTCTTGTTTTTGCTCTTGCTTTTTCTCTTGCTCTTTCTATTGCTCTTTCTCTTGCTCTTTCTTTTGTTTTTGCTCTTGTTTTTGCTCTTGCTTTTTCTCTTGATATTTCTCTTGTTTTTTTATCTTGCTCTTTCTCTTGTTTTTGCTCTTGCTCTTTCTCTTGCTCTTTCTATTGCTCTTTCTATTGCTCTTTCTCTTGTTTTTGCTCTTGCTCTTTCTCTTGCTCTTTCTATTGCTCTTTCTCTTGCTCTTTCTCTTGTTTCTGCTCTTGCTCTTTCTCTTGCTTTTTCTTTTGCTCTTTCTTTTGCTCTTTTTCTTGTTTTTGCTCTTGCTCTTTCTCTTGCTCTTTCTATTGCTCTTTCTATTGCTCTTTCTCTTGGTCTTGCTCTTTCTCTTGCTTTTTCTCTTGCTCTTTCTCTTGCTCTTTCTCTTGTTTTTGCTCTTGCTCTTTCTCTTGCTCTTTCTCTTGTTTTTGCTCTTGCTCTTTCTCTTGTTTTTGCTCTTGCTTTTTCTCTTGCTCTTTCTATTGCTCTTTCTCTTGCTCTTTCTCTTGTTTTTGCTCTTGCTCTTTCTCTTGCTCTTTCTATTGCTCTTTCTATTGCTCTTTCTCTTGTTTTTGCTCTTTCTTTTTCTCTTGCTCTTTCTGTTGCTCTTGCTCTTTCTCTTGTTCTTGCTCTTTCTGTTGTTCTTTCTCTTGTTCTTGCTCTTGCTCTTTCTCTTGTTCTTGCTCTTGCTTTTTCTCTTGTTCTTTCTCTTGTTCTTGCTCTTGCTTTTTCTCTTGCTTTTTCTCTTGCTCTTGCTCTTTCTCTTGTTCTTTCTCTTGCTCTTTCTCTTGTTTTTGCTCTTGCTCTTGTTCTTGCTTTTTCTCTTGTTC